ACCCCATTTGTATACCGATAAAGGGATAACCCCAGCCGTGGGGGCAGCAGAAAGGTTTTGCCTGCATTCACAGCTGAATGTGTACTCTCTCACTAAATAAATCTTCTCTTCCTGCACTTCTATGTCTTCACCCGTGCTGGGACAGAACTTGGAATAAACCCAGCCAGAGACTCCATTCTCCATAAGAATTTCATAGCCTCAAACAATACAACTTTTACAGGGTGAAAGGAAAATTTCTTTTTGACCTCAAGAAGGCTTGTCTTGAATATCTGTGATGATTGTGTCCACTGTAAAGATATTAATGAATAAAATAACAATTAATCTGGCTGACTTAGGGCTCTTTTGAGCTTATATGATTTGATCCGCCAGAACATGGTTGCTCTAATGAACAGAAGAAACAGAATTCCTGAACACACACTGGGGGCTTATCATGCATGCAAGAGAACCCATCAAGGCATGTACCTCATCAGGCCATTCAGGTACTGTCACATTTTTCTCTCATATAAACTTTTACTTTATTCTAGCCCTGACTCTGGTCTTATTGGATCTCATGCATCAAGAACTAATTCTGCACTATGGGTTCATACATGAGTTTAAAAGTTTTTAAATGGTGGACATTATCATGTTTTGGGAGTAGGGACCCCCAAATCACATTGTGGGTCTTGAGAGCCATGGTCTGGCTCAGAGACCACCAGCTAGAGTTAGTCCAGGTTCTTGTCTTCTCACATATAGGAATACAAACGGAGATGTAGACAGAGGTGAACCCACTCAAGTGTGGGCGCAGGCAACCTCAAGAAACAGAATTGCTCCCACCAGGGCTGGGGCTGTTCTTTTTGTGAGATAAGGAGTGAGACCTGGGGCTGGACCTGAGTGAAGAGCCAAAGGAGGCAGGGTGTGGGGGTGGGGCTGCAGCACACGTGGTGATCTCCAGGAAGGTGTCATGGCATCTGGTGCATGATGCAAAGTGAGCCTTCATGGGGCCGGCACTCTAGTATAGCAGGAAAGGCTGCTACCTGTGGTGCCGGCATCCCATGTGGGCACCGGTTCTAGTCCCGGCTGCTCCTCTTCCAATCCAGCTCTCTGCTATGGTCTGGGGAAGCAGTAGAAAAAGGCCCAAGTCCTTGGGCCCCTGCACCCATGTGGGAGACCTGGAAGAAGCTCTTGGCTCCTGGCTTCGGATCGGCGCAGCTCCAGCCGTTGAGGCCATCTGGGGAGTGAAGCAGTAGATGGGAGACCTCTCTCTGCCTCTGCCTCTCTGTAACTGTGCCCTTGAAATAAATAAAACTAGAAAGAGAGAGAGAGAGAGAGAGAGAGAAAGGAAGAAAGAGAGAAAAAGAGAAAGCAAGCAAGCAAGCAAGCAAGCAAGCCAGCCTTCGCAGCATGATGGGAAGTGAGGATGCTGGGCTCATTCGTTTTGGTTTTGGGTGGTGTGTGTAGCTTAGGTGCTGCCAGGCCTCAGCTCTTGTCCTTGCTCCCTGCCTAGCCGATACATCATTTTGACCATTCTGTTCAAGTTTTGCCTTAGTCATTTTCATGATAATTTTCTTAGTTATCTATAGGGTGTGTTTGCTTCTATTTTTATTTTTGTTGTGTTTTTGGCAAATCATTTTCCCATTTTCTATCCCTGACTCATCATTTAGGGTTTAACTGACTGCTCATTTCCTGAGCTTGTTATTTTTTGCCCATTGTTCTTTCATAATTTGGTGATACTTTATTGGATTGTTTCTTTCAAATGTGAGAGTAGTATTTTTTTTTCTTTTTTGTCTGTTTTATTCACAGTTGTATTAATAGCACCTAGACCAGTGCCTGGTAAATTTTGGTGCTTAATAAATATCCATTCAATGAATGAGTAAAAATTTTAAGTCAAATATTTTCTTTTTAATCTCCCAATTTCTAAAAATCAATAAAATGTTTATCATATTTTTAACAAAAATAAAACTATGATAAATTTTTTTAACTTTTTTTAGGGGCTGGCATTTTGGCATAGTAAGTAAAGCCACCACATGCAACACTGGCATCCTATATGGGCGCCAGTTTGTGTCCTGGCTACCCCACTTCTGATCCAGCTCCCTGCCAATGCCTGGGGAAAACAGCAGAGATTGGCCCAACTGTTCGGGCCCCTGCAACCCATGTGGGAGACCCAAATTAAGCTCTTGACTCCTGGCTTCTGCCTGGACCAGCCCTGGTCATGCGGCCACTTGAACAGGCAGATGTGGAAGAGTGGAAGATCGATCTCTCTCCCTCTCTGTAGCTCTGATTTTCAAATAAATAACTAAGTATTTAAAAAAAAATTTTTTTGGCCGGCGCCGCGGCTCACTAGGCTAATCCTCCGCCTAGCAGCGCCAGCACACCGGGTTCTAGTCCCGGTTGGGGCGCCGGATTCTGTCCCGGTTGCCCCTCTTCCAGGCCAGCTCTCTGTTGTGGCCCGGGAGTGCAGTGGAGGATGGCCCACGTGCTTGGGCCCTGCACCCCATGGGAGACCAGGAAAAGCACCCGGCTCCTGGCTCCTGCCATCGGATCAGCGCGGTGCGCCGGCCGCAGCGCGCTGGCCGCGGCGGCCATTGGAGGGTGAACCAACGGTAAAGGAAGACCTTTCTCTCTGTCTCTCTCTCTCACTGTCCACTCTGCCTGTCAAAAAAATAAAAATAAAAATAAAAATAAAAAAAATTTTTTAAAGTAAATTGAAATGTAAAGATGTGACTTCTGTATTTAAATTTGTATTCTTCTTAACTACTGCAAATAAAAGGATAAAGCCTTTGTGTTTTTCATAATTAAAGATAATTTACTTAAGTACCTGACATCTCCATGACAAAACACCCTCCTGTTTCCCAGGAGGCTTCCCAAGGGCAATTCCAGGAATACCCCAGCAGCAGTTACAGCAGTACCAAAGCAGCTGTACTCAGCCAGCATTTAAAGAACCGCAGCCTTATTTAAGGAAGTAATGCTTGGAGACAGTAGACGAAAGATAAGGTCACACATCACCACAAGAGACCAAGATGATGACTCACCAAAAGTCCCTCTCCAAACCTTGGGACTTAGAGGAAGAAAACAGTGACGTGTGTCACTGCAAAAATATGTATGTCTTAGACTTTACAGGAAGTGAGTGTAGAAGCAGGAAAATTCAGTATATAAAGGAATGTAATCTTGCAGACCAGCCCCATCAACATGAAAATCACGTGTGCATGTAAATGAATTATTATTGATTATATTTGATATATGTAAGTATTTCATATATTAAGAACTCAGTAAGCCACTGCACTAGACACTATAAACCACAATAATATAGTTAAGATTCCCAATGTAACTTAAATTTTAATCACTAATTTTTGGAGATATTTTTAAGCAAGCTATTATCATTTATGCTAAGAGTGCTGTCATTAAATTAAATTATTTTTAAAAGGATATCTACTGGGGCCGGGGCTGTGGCATAGTGGATAAAACCACTGCCTACAGTGCCGGCATCCCATACGGGCGTCGGTTCTGGTCCCAGCTGCTCCTCTTCTGATCCAGCTCTTTGCTATGGCCTGGAAAAGCAGTAGAAGATGGCTCCTGCACCCCCATGGGAGACCCAGAAGAAGCTCCTGGCTCCTGGTTTCAGATTGGCTCAGCTCCCAGTCATTACAGCCATTTGGGGAAGATGGAAAACTTTCTCTCGCTCCTTCTCTCTCTCTCTCTCTGCCTCTGCCTCTGCCTCTCTGTAACTCTACCTTTCAAACAAATAAATAAATCTTAAAAAAAAAAAAGATATCTACTGAACACTTAAAATATGCCAAATAATGGCTAAGGTTTCACATGGACTATGTTCTTCTCATATAGTGGTAATGTTATCTCTATTTTCCAGATAAATAAATAGCTGGTAAAGATGAACTCATAACTGCATTATCTTCTTAATTACTCTAAATTTTAGCATTATCTCCCAGACGAGGGAAGTAGGCAGGAAGTTAGATAAAAATAAAAGTGCTGAGGGATTTTCCCACAACTTCTATCTCTGCAACCCTGTACTGAAACTCCACCCCTTACATGTCAATCCTTAGGCCCACTTTCCCGTGTTATCCCTGCGCCTCATCCAGAACTAAGAAGGTGATGCCATGATGGATCTATGGAAGTTAAACTCCATGAGGAGACACCAGTGAGACTCACACACATACACACACTAAACCCTGCCCAAACTCCACCTTGTTTGTATATTCAATTATAGGGCCACTCCCTACTTCATAAAGGGAACTGTGGCAAGTGGGAGCAGCCTGTTTTTGGCTTTTGGCCCTTGCTCTTGGTCCTCCTCTCCCTCCTACATTTGCTTCGCAGGCATCTCTCTGGCCCTCTCATGACGGGTCACTCTCATTGCAGAGTTGCCCACTCACTCACAAAGGTATTCTCGCCAGCGCCGTGGCTCACTAGGCTAATCCTCTGCCTTGCGGCGCCGGCACACAGGGTTCTAGTCCCAGTCGGGGTGCCGGATTCTGTCCCGGTTGCCCCTCTTCCAGGCCAGCTCTCTGCTGTGGCCAGGGAGTGCAGTGGAGGATGGCACAAGTACTTGGGCCCTGTACCCCATGGGAAACCAGGATAAGCACCTGGCTCTTGCCATCGGATCAGCGCGGTGCGCTGGCCACAGCGCGGCGGCCATTGGAGGGTGAACCAATGACAAAGGAAGACCTTTCTCTCTGTCTCTCTCTCTCACTGTCCACTCTGCCTGTCAAAAAACAAACAAACAAACAAAAAACAAAGGTATTCTCAATCTTTGTAAATAAACCTGCTTTCATCTTTGAACTGTATGTATGCCTCTGCTTTGAATTTTTATCTCATGTGGGGGCAAGGACTTGAAATAAAAACTGGAAACCTTCCCATAACAACCCTAGGTCTTTGTCATAGGGTGCCCATTTTGGCTGTTTCCCACAGAGCTTGCAAATGCATCTTTTACTGGCTACCTTTTCTCTCTTTCTTACTTGTCCCCCCACACATTCTGGGATCACCACTATAATCATTTGCTAGGGCTGCCATACCAAAATACCACAGATATGGTGGTCAAGCAGACATGTATTTTCTCATAGATCTGGAGGCTGGAAGTCCACAATCAACTGATTTTTGGTTTGGTTCACTGCTTTGGTTCCTTCTGAGACTTTCTGCCCAGAACTGCAGATGGCCGTCTTCTCCCAGTGCCTTCCATGGTCGTCTCTGCATGCTCAAGGATCTGTCTGGTGTCTCCCAGTGTGTCCAAATTTCTTCTTCTCACAAGGACGCCAATCAGGTTGAATTAAGGCCCATCCTAAAGACCGAATTTTAACTTAACCACTTTAAAGACCTTATCAAGGTGGGCATTATTCTAGTGGTTAAGATGCTGGGTATATGCACACATCCCATATCAGAATACCTGGGCTCAATGCCCAGCTGCAGCTCTTGACTCCAGCTTCTTGCTAACGCAGACCCTGGGAAGCAGTGGTAATGGCTCAGGTTCATTGGGTTCCTGCCAACCATGTGGGTAGCTTAGATTGAGTTCCCAGCTCCTGGCTTTGGCTAGGCCCAGCCAGCCCTGGAGGTTGTAGGCATTTTGGGAGTGAATCAGTGAATTGGAACTTTTGTTCTCTCTCTCTCAATCTGTGTGTGTGTGAGTGTGTGTGTGTGTGTGTGTGTGTGTCTTTTTCTCTCTCCCTTTCTGCCTAATACCATGTTAAAAACTTTGGGGGAGGCCAGTATGTGGTTTAGTAGGTAAAACTGCTGCCTGCAATTCTGGCAACCTGTATGGGCACTGGTTTGTGTCACAGTTGCTCCACTTCCAATCCAGCTCCCTGCTAATGGCCTCAGAGGGAGTAGCAGGTGGCATGGGAGTGGGGGTGGGAGGGTGGGTATGGGGGAAAATCCACTATATTCCTAAAGTTGTGCCTATGAAATTTGCATTCATTAAATAAAAAGCTTTAAAAAAATGGAATATGGCCCAGTGCAGGGTCCCTGCCATCCATGTGGGAAACCAGAATGAAGCTCTTGGCTCCTGGATTTGGCCTGGTCCAGCCTTGGCCCTTGTGGGTCATCTGGGGACTGAATCAGTAGATGAAAGATCTCTTTCTGTCCCTCCCTCTTTTTTTGTAACTCTGACTTTCAAATAAAATATAATCAATAAATCTTGAAAAACATTTTTAAAAGATTCTGTCTCCAAAAATGGTCACATTCTGATGTACTGAGGGTAAAGATTTCAAATATAAATTTGATAAAGGGAGAACACAATTCAGCCATGGCCCCTCCTAAATAAACAACTTCACTTGAAATTATTTCAGAGTTGGCTTTGGGAAACACAAATTAAGACTGAAAACACAGAGAATACTGTTGGACACATAGTACTAAGAAAGATCCTTGTGTAGTGGTAGCCTATTAGCTTTAATTTATTAATTTATTTTTTATTTATTTGACAGATAGAGTTAGACAGTGAGAGAGAGAGAGAGACAGAGAGAAAGGTCTTCCTTCCGTTGGTTCACACCCCAAATGGCTGCCAGGGCCGGAGCTATGCCGATCTGAACCCAGGAGCCAGGTGCTTCTTCCTGGTCTCCCACACGGGTGCTGGCGCCCAAGCACTTGGGCCATCCTCCACTGCCATCCTGGGCCACAGCAGAGAGCTGGACTGGAAGAGGAGCAACTGGGACTAGAACCTGGCGCTCATATGGGATGCCGGCACCACATGCGGAGGATGAGTGAGCCACGGTGCCGGCCCCAGCTTTAATTTCTCTTACGCCTTTATTTCACTTTCCTATTTAAAGGATTTTCAAAAGAGATTTTATTTTTTAGAGCAGTTGAGATTTATGGCAATATTGAAAGGAAGATATAGTTTCCATATATCCCGTGTTGCCACACATGTGTCAACATCTCCCACCAGATTTGGTGTGTATATTACAGCTGATGAACTTATACATACTGACTCTTCATCACTACCAGAGCCCATGGTTGACATCAGAGTTCACTGTTGATGTTGTGCATTCTATGGGATTGGACCAATGTATAATGACAGGTATCACCATTATGTTATACAGAGGATTTCCACCCCCTAAAAATCCTCCATGCTCAGCCTATTCACTTTTCTAACTCCTGGCAACCACTGATCATTTTCCTGTAACCATTGTTTTATATTTACCAGAATGTCATATTTGGATGTAGGCTTTTACTTTGGGTCTTTCACTTAATAGATGCATGTAGGTTTCCTCCATATCTTTTCCTTTTTGGAAATTTTTTATTTATCTTTTATATTTATTTGAAAGGCAGAGAGAGAGAGAGAAATCTTTCATCTGCTGGTGCACTCCTTGAATGCCCACAACAGCCAGAACATGACTACATTGAAGCCAGGAGACAGGAACTCAATCTGGGTCTCTCATGTAGGGGCAGGGACCCAAGCATTTCAGTCATCACCTGCTGTCTCCCAAGGTGTGTGTTAGCAAGAAGCTGAATTGGGAATAGAGCTGGGATTTGAACCCAGACACTCTGATGTGGGAAGTGGCCATCCCAGTGTCTTAACTGCTGCACCACTCACTCACCCTCCTCTATGTTTTTTCATTGCTATATAGCTCATTTCTTTTCCTTAGGACTGAGTAATATTCAATTGTTAGTTAACCACAATCATTTTGTCCACTCATGTAATAAAGGACACCTTGATTTCCTCCAGTTTTGGGTAATTATGAAAAAAGCTGCTGTAAACAAAGGTGCGCATATTTTTGTGTGGACATAAGTTTTTAACTGTCTTGTGTAAATATCAAGAAGTGTAAATGTGCCGGTGCCGCGGCTCACTAGGCTAATCCTCTGCCTTGTGGCACCGGCACACCAGGTTCTAGTCCCGGTCGGGGTGCCGGATTCCGTCCCGGTTGCCCCTCTTCCACGCCAGCTCTCTGCTGTGGCCAGGGAGTGCAGTGGAGGATGGCCCAAGTGCTTGGGCCCTGCACCCCATGGGAGACTAGGAGAAGTACCTGGCTCCTGCCATCGGATCAGCGCGGTGTGCCGGCCGCAGCGCGCCGGCCGTGGCGGCCATTGGAGGGTGAACCAACGGCAAAGGAAGACCTTTCTTTCTGTCTCTCTCTCTCACTGTCCACTCTGCCTGTCAAAAAAAAAAAAAAAAAAAAAAAAAAAGAAGTGTAAATATTAGATCATAGATCATATAATGTTTCTTTAATTTTTTATAAAAATTGCCACATTGTCTTCCAAAGTCACTGTGTCATTTTGTATTACCACTATCAATGAGTGGAAATATTTGCCGTTCTTAATTCTCACCAGCATTAGGTGTTGTCTGTCAGTGTTCTGGATTTTGGCCATTTTAACAGGTATGTAGCAGTATCTCACTGTATGAATTTTTATATCTCTGCAGGTAAGATCATGCTTCAAAAAGTTTGAGGAAAAATAGAATAAAAATATTATTTTAGCATGATAAACTTGAAAATCATGCATAGTTTTGTCATAATATGCATTTTCCATGAACTTTTTGAATGCCTTTCATAAGTACAGGCTTTTAAAAAAATTTATTTTGTTTATTTGAAAGGCAGTTACAGAGAGAGAGACAGAGAAATACAGAAAGAGTTATCTTCCACCCGCTAGTTCACTCCCCAAATCGCCTCAATGGCCAGGGCTGGGACAGGCTGAAGCCAGGAGCCAAGAGCTTCTTTCAGGTCTCCCATGTGGGTGGCAGGGACCTAAGTACTTGGGCCATTTCTTCTATTTTCCCAAGTGTCCTAACAGGGTGCTGTATCATAAGTGGAGCAGCTGGGGCTCAAAAATGGGATGACAGCATGGCAAGCAGCAGCTTAACCTGCTATGCGACAATGCCAGCCACCTATTTCTTACGTTTAGTAATTTCTGATGGTATCTTAGACATACAAATGAATGATACGTTAGAAACACTGAACTCTGTATTGTGTTCTCTCCCTTCTGGAATATTCTCCTTCATATTCCAGGGATGGTTGCTCCAAACTCTGAACACTTAATTTGTAAGATTACAAGTTCCTGAGTTTTAGCTACCCCAAATGACACCGACTAGAGTGTGCTTCAAGTAAAAAGTGAGAAAAAATGAAAAGCTCACTCAGCATTTGGTGTTTCCTCCAACTCTTGATGCCCCTTCATATTCTTGGTGCTTTAGTCACTTTTCAGAGGCATGCTACTCCACCATGAACAGAAATGGAAACTTTTCTTTTACTAAGAAAAATCTGCTCCATATCTTGATACCTGAGTCATATTTATTCATTTAGGTCAATCCTGATGCTCCCTATCAAAACATGTTTTGAGTTTCTCTACCTTTTAACACTTCTCAAAAGAGGACTGCATCTCCCCACCACCTGTGTGTAGAGAAACAGCCCAACTACCTTTTCTGAAGAATCTCCATTCAAATAGCATCTTTACTTGTCCTAACTTCCCCTTCAATTCTATTCCTGTGGCTGAGTGAGTAAACATAATTGACGGGAGTTTTTCCCCAAGGTTGAAGACATTTCTGGGAATGTTTCCAAGCATTCCATTCAATTATTCTCTTTTTTATTGATGGGGATTTTACACCATGTTTTTCTGGAGGTTTGCACAGTCAGTGTCTGAATAGAGGGAATTTAAGTTCACATCCAGTGTCACCACCCAAAAGGAGAAAGGTTTATCACCTGGGACAGGTGCCAGAGAAAGTCCCTCAGAGGGACTCAACCAGGTCACATAGTCAACTCAGTTCAAAAAGCCTTTGTGAGCCAAACTATGCTGGCCTTGGGGAAAAAACACTGGAGTTTACTATAAATAGCATTTGAAAAACACCTTTATTAAGATAGAATTTCCATATCCTACTATGACATTCTAAAGAATGCAATGCAGAATGAATGAATGATTGAATGAAGACTTCCTAAACAACATCCTCAGTAACAACTCCGTGGTTACTAAAGATGGAAATGATGCTCCTGTCCAAAGATGAGAAAGATGAAGTGCCCTCATCTCCAACTCCCAACTACAATGATTGGAGACACACTTATGCCTATTCAAAGCTGTTTACAATGGCAAGAAATAGTTACAGGATGACACCGAAGACTGGAATGATCAAGTTTACAGATGAAAAGAGGGACCAGAGTTGTGGCACAATGGGTTGCACCACCACCTAAAATGCCAACATCCCATACCAAATGGGCACTGATTAAGAAAGAAATACGCTGCATGTAGACTTGATCCAAAACAAACAATAAGGTATGATTCCTTTTCATCTTAAGAAGGCTTAATGATGGGGCCAGTGCTGTGGCGTAGCAGGTAAAGCCGCCGCCTGCACTGCTGGCATCCCATATAGGTGCTGGTTCCAGTCCCAGCTGCTCCAATTCCGATCTGGCTCTCTGCTATGGCCTGAGAAAGCAGTAGAAGATGGCCCAAGTCCTTGGGCCCTGCACCCATGTGGGAGACCTGGAAGAAGCTCCTGGCTCCTGGCTTCAGATCGGCACAGCTCCGGCCATTTTGGCCAACTGGGAAGTGAACCAGTGGATGGAAGGCCTCTCTCTGCCTCTCCTTTTCTCTTTGTGTAACTCTGACTTTCAAATAAATAAATACATCTTTAAAAAAAAGAAAGATCACAAAAAAATGGAATTAGAAAATAAATTTAAAAAAAAAGAAGAAGGCTTAGGGGCCGGCGCCGTGGCTCACTTGGTTAATTCTCCACCTACGGCTCCGCCATCCCATATGGGCGCCGGTTCTAGTCCCGGTTGCTCCTCTTCCAGTCCAGCTCTCTCCTGTGGCCCGGGAGTGCAGTGGAGGATGGCCCAAGTGCTTGGGCCCTGCACCCGCATGGGAGACCAGGAAGAAGCACCAGGTTCCTGTCTTTGGATCGGTGCAGTGCGCTGGCTGTCATGGCCATTTGGGGAGTGAACCAATGGAAGGAAGACCTTTCTCTCTGTCTTTCTCTCAGTCTATAATTCTACCTGTAAAAAAAAAAAAAAAAAAGCCCGCACCATGGCTCACTAGGCTAATCCTCCGCCTGCAGCGCCGGCACACCAGGTTCTAGTCCTGGTCGGGGCGCCAGATTCTGTCCTGCTTGCCCCTCTTCCAGGCCAGCTCTCTGCTGTGGCCCAGGAAGGCAGTGGAAGACGGCCCAAGTCCTTGGACCCTGCGCCTGCATGGGAGACCAGGAGAAGCACCTGGCTCCTGGCTTCCGATCGGCGCAGCGCGCCGCCAGAGCGGCCACTGGGGGATGAACCAACATAAAAGGAAGACCTTTCTCTCTGTCTCTCTCACTGTCCACTCTGCCTGTCAAAAAAAAAAAAAAAAAAAAAAAAAAAAAAAAAAGGAAGAAGGCTTGATGAAAGACATTTTCAAAATGAGTTCTTTGAGAGCTGAGTTCCTATTCTATTCTTTTCATCTTTATTTACCATGTTTATTTATTTGAAAAGCAGAGTGAGAGAGAGGGGGAAAATGTGTGTGTGTGTGTGTGAAAGAGAGAGAGAGACAAACACATGGATCAATTGTCCATCTGCTGGCTCACTCCCTAAATGCCTGTAACAGCCAGGGCTGAGTGAGGCTGAAGCCAAGAACCCAGTATTCAAGTTTCCCAAATTAGTGGCAGGAACCCAAGTACTTGGCTCATCTTCCACTGGTTTCCCAGGCACATTAGCAAGGAGCTGGATCAGAAGTAGAGCAGCTGGGTACATGAACTGGTGCCATATGGGATGCCAGTGTCACAGGTGGTGACTTTACCTGCTACACCTCAATGCTGGCCCCTCACTTTCTTTTTCAATTTGTCCTTCCATTGAGAAGTTTTACCTAGACTTTGTTTTAAGGTTTATACATTTGTTTGAAAGGCAGAGTCAGAGAGAGGCAGAGTCACAGGAAGAGACAGAGATCTTCCATCTGCTGGTTCACTCTCCCAGTGGCCACAACAGCTCATGCTGGGTTAGGCCAAATCCAGAAACCAGGAACTTCATCTGGATCTCCCACGTGGGTGGCAGGAACACAAGTACTTAGGCCATCACTTGTTGCCTCCCAGGCACCTTAGCAGGAAACTGGGTCAGAAGTGGAGGAAGGACTCGATCCCGAGGATTCCAATATGGGATACTGACATCTCAGGTGGCAGTTTAACCTGCTATGCCACAATGCTCACCCTTGTACCTAGACTTTTAAAAAAATTTATTTACTTGAAAGTCGGAGTAACACAGAGAAAGTAGGAGAGGCAGAGAGAGAGGTCTTCCATCCGCTGGTTCACTCCCAGATGGCTGCAACGGCCGGAGCTGCACTGATCCAAAGCCAGGAGCCAGGAGCTTCTTCCAGGTCTCCCACATGGATGCAGGGGCCCAAGGACTTGGGCCATCTTTTACTGCTTTCCCAGGCCATAGCAGAGAGCTAGATTGGAAGTGGGGAAGCCGGGACTCAAACTGGCGCCCATATGGGATGCCGGCACTGTAGACAACGGCTTTACCCGCTATGCTACAGTGCTGGCCCCATGTACCTAGACTTTTAAAAGACATTTCTGTAACAAATCAGGGTAACTGGTAATTGCCTCATTTAACAGGTTGAAAATATCCCTAGGGGCTGGGCTGTGGCTCAGCGGGTTAACGCCCTGGCCTGAAGCATGGGAGACCAGGAAGAAGCTCCTGGCTCCTGGCTTCAGATCGGCTCAGTTCCAGCCATTGTGGCCAACTGCGGGGGGTGGGGTGGGGGTGGGGTGGGGGGGTGAACCATTGGATGGAAGACTTCTCTCTCTCTGCCTGTCCACTCTCTGTGTAACTCTGACTTTCAAATAAATAAATAAATCTTTTTTTAAAAAGTCCCTAAAATGGAATCATTTTTGAATTGTGGGTTCTTCACAGTAAAAAAGGATCCTACTGAAGTCCCTAGAAGTGCAAGAGAAGACATTCACTCTAGATGCCCTTTCTATAATTACTCACATTGTACTACATAAGCATGCTAGTTTCTCAGTCATCTAACATATTATAAAGGACAGGTTGGAATGTTTGGGAAGCGGTTCCATTTACTATGAGGTGAACAGGGAGACTTATCAGCTCTAAGAACTAGCTGAGCCCGATTTAATACATCTCTTTTTTCCTCATTAAGGTGACATTATTGAGTTATGTTTTGCTTTAGGGCATAAGCAAAAACATTGCTGAGTTATGCTTTTGCTTTAGACTGGAACAAAATAAACCTCTGATCACCCAGCACACCCTTATCTACTGTCACCACCTGAAGCCACTCGCAGCAGCAGCACCAAGAGCCCATGTTTCCGCCAGTAGGGGAAGGGATGGGAGCTAGAGAGCAAGCCTGAAAATTGATGGCTTTCCTTCCTGGAGAAAACTTAACCCCATCCCTCCAGCTCCCAAAATTTGGTTTACCTCTGAAAGGTGAGATGCTTTCTGTTCTTTGTCCTGGAATAGTAGGCCAACCACTTGGTAGTCAGTTTCCCAGCAGAAAGCCTGAATGACCAGCAAGTTCTGTGGGGCAAGCTCAGTTTCTAGGTAGAAAGGGAAGCTCTCTAAGGAAAGGGGGAGGAAAAGGGACATGAGTTTTTCTTCAGTAAGAAATGTTGCTGGAAGAAACAAGTGTTTCTTTGGATGTCTGCAAATATAAAATAAAGAGAAGAAATTACATGGTGGGTATTGCCCTACATCACTGTTTAATGATAGAGGAAAGATATTTTTCCAATTCTTCCTACCAGTAGAAGATGTAGGGATTATATAACAGTCATTCTAGGTAGGTGGCAGACCATCTCAGGTTTAAATCCTCAGTCTGCCACCTGTTAGTGCCTCAGAGCCTAAGTTCCTACACCTGTAGACAGGGGTGCTAATAATAGTTCCTACCTTGTAGTGTTGTTTGAAGATTGAGATAATTTACATGACAATGTTTGCATGGTTTTCAATAAATATTGGCTATTGTTGTTCTTAGCTATCCTGCTACATCATCTTTAATCATCTGTAGTCCCCTTTTTATTTCACTTCTGTGGCACTGAAAAGGCTACAAATGAAGAGGCACCCATTGTGAAGTGAACTTTCTCGAAAGTAAGGACTGATCTTGTTTACTATTGTACTCCCAGTACCTAACAAATGCCTGGCACACAGACAGTTGAAGAAAGGAAGAACCATTATTATAAAATATAATCTTTTTTTTTTTTTTTTGACAGGCAGAGTGGACAGTGAGAGAGAGAGAGAGACAGAGAGAAAGGTCTTCCTTTTGCCGTTGGTTCACCCTCCAATGGCCGCCGCGGCCAGCGCGCTGCGGCCGGCGCACCGTGCTGATCCGATGGCAGGAGCCAGGAGCCAGGTGCTTTTCCTGGCCTCCCATGGGGTGCAGGGCCCAAGCACCTGGGCCATCCTCCACTGCACTCCCTGGCCACAGCAGAGGGCTGGCCTGGAAGAGGGGCAACCGGGACAGAATCCGGCGCCCCGAGCAGGACTAGAACCCGGTGTGCTGGCGCCGCTAGGCGGAGGATTAGCCTAGTGAGCCGTGGCACCGGCCAAAATATAATCTTAATTACAAGGGTTATAGGTCAAATTACACCCTCCAAAATTCATATTGCAGCCCTAACCCCCAGTGCTTCAGAAAATGACCTTATTTGAAAATAGCCAATTGATATAATTAAGATAAGGTCACACTGGAGGAGGGGGCTCCGAATCCAATGTGACTGGAGTCCTTATTCGAAGGATCTGGAGACAGACACACCAAGGAGAATGTCATGTGACAATGGCGGTAGATAAGGGGTGATGCAGCAGCAAGCCGAAGCATGCCAGCGATGAACAGCAAAGCACCAGGCGCGAGGCAGACACACGGAATAAATTCTTCCTCACAGACCTCAAGAGGAATAGCACTGTTGACATTTTGGTCTCGGACTTCCAGCTTCCAGGTCTGTGAGACGAAAAGCTTCTGTTGTTTATTCCACACAGTGTGTAGTACTTTACAAATGGGGGGGGGGGGGGTGGAAGGGACACAAGCACTTGAGCCATCATCTGCTGCCTGCAAAGGTGTGTATTAGCAAGAAGTTGGATCTCAGCCACTTCAGTATGCGATATCAGTGTCCTAAGCAGAAGCTAACCTGCTGCACCACAACACCTGCCCTAGACAATGTGTTTCTCAGGTTTTTTTTTTAAGTGTTACTATGGGGGCTGGCATTATGCCGCAGTGGGTTAAGCCATTGCCTCTGATGCTAGCATCCCATATGGGAGGGCCGATTTGAGTCCTAGTCACTCGGCTTCATTTTTCTTCTCCTTTTTTATTGTTTATTTTTGTGTGTGTGAAGAAAAACTTTAATTGCTGTTGCAAAAACCATCTGCATGAAATAGAAATTCATTTCCTAACATTAGTAGAGAAAACATTCTAGAAAGTGGAGGAAATTGGATGTAAAAATCCTGGCAGCAATAGAATACAACAGTCCCATATGGTTAGGCTGAGGCCAACACCATGAAAACCTTGTCTGTGGGGAATTTTGGACGATACCTGTAGAAATATTACACTAGTGCATAAGCCAAATTGAGTTATTCTTTCAAGTGTTGTAAAATTTCATAAACTTGCAAGTGTTGTAAAGTTTCATGTAGTAAAAGTTTTTTTCAAAGCAAGAGTGGCATAGAATACCTAAACACAGGTCACAGCTTTCATGCAAGGTATCTAACTCCTTACTATAATAATGCATACAGGGCCGCCTGCGCTTTGGCGTAGTGGGTAAAGCCACAGCCTGCAGTGCCGGCATCCCATATGGTCACTGGTTTGAGTCCCGGCTGCTCCACTTCCAATCCAGCTCTCTGCTGTGGCCTGGGAAAGCAGTAGAAGATGGCCCAGGTCCTTGGGCCCCTGCTCCCACATGGGAGAACCAGAAGAAGCTCCTGGCTCCTGGCTTTGCATTGGTGTAGCTCCAGCTGTTGTGGCCACTTGGGGAGTTAACCAGCGGATAAAAGACCTCTCTCTCTCTCTCTCTCTCTCTCTCTCTCTGCCTCTCCTTCTCTCTGTGTGTAACTCTGACTTTCAAATAAATGAGCAAATCTTTGTGTGTTCTCTTTTTGCATTTTTTCTTCATTTTCTTAATCAATTCTGCTATTGCTGCTGCTTAGCAAAACTGGTGAAAACAAAATTGTGATAATTGAACATTACACTCTGGCAATCAAGGTGTTTAAAACCTTCAATCTTGGCCGGCTTTGTGGCTCTATAGGCTAATCCTCCACCTTGCGGTGCTGGCACACTGGGTTCTAGTCCCAGTTGGGGCACCGGATTCTGTCCCGGTTGCCCCTCTTCCAGGCCAGCTCTCTGCTGTGGCCCGGGAGTGCAGTGGAGGTTGGCCCAAGTGCTTGGGCCCTGCACCCCATGGGAGACCAGGATAAGTACCTGGCTCCTGCCTTCAGATCAGCGTGGTGTGCCGGCTGCAGCGCGCCGGCCACGGCAGCCATTGGAGGGTGAACCAACGGCAAAGGAAGACCTTTCTCTTTCTCTCTCTCTCTCCCTGTCCACTCTGCCTGTAAAAAAATAAAATAAAATAAAATAAAATAAAATAAAATAAAATAAAATAAAGCCTTCAATCTTTGGGAGTGAAGAAAGCACTGTGTAACATTTAACACTCTGATGAAAAAATAAGGTGGTTGGGGCCAGCACTGTGGCTCACTTGGTTAATCCTCCGCTTGCGGCACTGGCATCCCACATGGGCGCCGGGTTCTAGTCCCAGTTGCTCCTCTTCCAGTCCAGCAGTGGAAGGTGGCCCAAGTGCTTGGGCCCCTGCACCTGTGTGGGAGACCAGGAGGAAGCACCTGGCTCCTGGCTTTGGATTGGTGTAGCTCCAGCCGTAGCGGCCATTTTGGGGAGTGAACCAACGGAAGGAAGACCTTTCTCTCTGTCTCTCTCTCTCTCTCACTGTCTAACTCTGTCAAATAAATTTTTAAAAGTTTAAAAAAAAAAAATAAGGTGGTCACACACTTTCCTGTCTTAAAAACTTGCACAACTTTCCTGATCAGGTCATCAGAGCAGGTCGGACTTAAGTTTGTTTCAAAGCTAACATAAGAAAATTCTGGTTCTGCTGTGATGTGAATAGTCCAATAAATTCTATATGATTTTATTCCATTCATTGAATACCTACAAGGATTGAACAGTGTGGCATGAATGACAGAACCAAGTATCAGGTCACAAATTCCACTCTCACAAATGACATCCTTTACAGTAATACCAACTTTCACGTAGAACTGGCCCATGACTGCTGGGGCAGGTATACTCATCAGAATCAGCAAGGTTTGATCCGGATGGCTGATTACCCAACTCTCTGGGAAATTCAGAAAATTCGAGTACCAACAGTCAGAGTTCTTACATGTCAAACAATATGCTATTCCATTTGGAAGAACTGTATTAAGAAACTCTATTTCTTCCTGGAAGTTCCAGCGTGGGTACCCTTGGTGAGAGGTGTCATGAAATTCTTACGAGAATAAAAGAAGCTTTGAACTGAGTCAAACCCACTGTAGTCCCTAGCAAGCTCCAACAGGGGAACCAGTGCTTTCAGCAAGAGGGTAGTACCACATGTTTTCAAAATGAAAGTCTCCTGGAGACAGACATGTACTCTCACTGAGTACACAAGCTTCCTGCTTGTCAGTTTTTATCACACTTACGATTGGACATTTTACATCCTTCAGAAGTATGTCCTGCTCAGGTCTTGGGGTAGTAGAAAGGTCCCCAGATCCTTGGATTGCGCTGGGTTGCTGTGGGGAGAACCAAACCTCCAGCAGCTTCTTAGTCCCTTTGAGAAAATGTGCAGCTTCCATCCCCGTGAGACTAGCAAATAACCAACAACCACAGAAAATCAACTAAATTAAATCTCTTCTCCTGCTGCTACTGCCTCTGTGGATTGTTCCCAACTGTGTTACTAAAGTTCAGATGTTTGTTTGTTTATTTATTTTGAGCAAAAGTTGAACGTGAGTAGGTTGGAAAAAGAGGCAGATACAGTTCAGTCTCGTGTAGACTGCTGCTTCCCTGTTAGAGAGCTGAGCGAGTGCTAATGTCGCTGGCCATAGCCTTACTATATAAGCCCACACTGTTTCTGATCTGGCTTCCCAATAAAGCACCTGAGAAGGAAGCAGAAGATGACCTAAGTGCTTAGGTCTCTGCCACTCATGTGGGACACTAGGATGGATTTCCTGCTTTAGCCGTGCCCAGACTTGGCTGTTGAAGGGATTTGGGTTTGAACTAGAGAATGGAATCTCTCTCTCTCTACTCCTCCTCCCTCCCTCTCCCTTTGTCACTCTTTTAAATAAATAAACAAATCCATTTTTTTAAAAAAAACTCTTAACATGAAGGATTTCATGCTATAAAGTCTTGGAGCACCAGCAAAAAATTCAAAAATTTTGGAGATGATTCACTTTGCAAATATTCTAGCACATTACTCATTATATTAGATTTCTTTGTATCACAGGGGGAAAAATGTTATTTAAAAACCAAAATAGGGGCCAGCGCTGTGGTGCAGTGGGTTAATGCCCTGGCCTGAAGTGCCGTCATCCCATATGGGCACCGGTTCTA